TTGTTACTAGTAGCAAGAATGCTCCTAGCCGTAAGGCCAGGAGCCCCTAGTAGCGTCCTTGCTCCTAGTAGCTTCTTGTTCCCGTCATATGATATCATATGTTGCTCAGAGAAAGCTGTTGAAAATGGTTATTCTTTCATGTAGCACTCCGTGAACACAACACAGGGTAGCGACCAAATTTAGGCAAGCATGCTATTCCTTTTACTTGTTTGTTCATTTTGTCTACCCTTCGCAGTGTTTTTTTCACTCACCAGGATCCCAGGCTCAATGAAGAGTTGGCCAAGCTCTTCTAGGACCTGAGTCATCAGAACGCTGTGCAAGCTGCCTGCGAATGGCCTCCAACCTAAAGTGGCACTTGTTACTACTAGCTTCTTGTTACTACTAGTAAGGCACCTGTTACTACTAGCGTGGCACTTGTTTCTACGAGCTTCTTGTTACTACTAGTAAGGCAAGCAATGGCCTCCAACCTATTTAATAGCGATCTCCCAGAAATAAACACCGTCTCGCAAACAATTCTGCTTCCTTGAGCAGAGATTTGCAAAGGACAGCACAACATTTCGCGCCACCATGTTCAAGAAGTTCTCGCCTCGGCAAGTAATCGATTCCCTGAAAGCAAAAGAAAAGAATACTAAAAACAGGTGCCTTATTTTAGGAGGCCTCTCTTCGGTTGTTTTCTTCGTATTGCCGAAAGAAGAATTGGCATATGCTGCTGGCACAAGTTCTTGCACGAGAAGCAGGCGCAAGCTCTTGACCACGAGAGCTTTCTCAAAGGCTGATAGCTTCGTATCCCTGGAAAATGTTCACGTGTTCGACAGCCCGCAACATTATTTCACACGTTGTTTTCAAAACATGTTGCCCAAAAAACTTCCCAAACAGAGCGCGCAGTTCGTGAAAGACATGTTTCTTCCGAAATTGGCGACTTGGGGAACTTCACCCGAGGACTCCACCAAGGCTTCGGGAAAGCCCTCTGCTGCCTTTGTTGCGAGATGGCAAATCCACACACAACATGATTGCATCATATTGCATCACATTGCATCATTCCTAATGGCTTTTGTTCCTAGTAGTACTACACGGCCAGGAGCCCCTAGTAGCGTCCTTGCTCCTAGTACCGATGCCAGGAGCCCCTAGTAGCGAACATTGTTCCTACTAGAAAATAAAAACACTGAGCTTGGAGCATGTCATCAGATCGGCAAAATGCTTCCCAATCGCCGCCCTGAGCCATCGCCTGCGCTGCGGAGTAAGATAGTTGTTCAAACCTGAAAAACGAATCTTCCTGGTCCAAGCACCTCTCATGTCTTTGTCTTTTCTGAGACTTTTGAATATCTGCCCCTACCTCCTTCAAACCAACGTAAGACTTCTCTCCGTTGTGAGCTGTGAGTCTCTCCAGGACATCCAGCTTTGTCCAAGCCTCAAACCAAATTGTTAGCGAAATGGACAGAATGGCCTCCAACCTAATAGGAATGGCCTCCTCCTAAGAGCGGCCTCCAACCTACTAGCTATGGCCTCCACTATCGTGAAGGTCTTGGATGCTTGATCTCTCTATGATGTTTGAGACACTTCGTTTGACATCAGTTTCAGTATGTGTGGCAAGCAAGCCTGGGGTTGGGTGGGCACCAGGCAGAGTAACTGTGGGGACGGAGTGTGTATCTTATCTGTGCAAGCAGGGGGGGTATCTTATCCTGCTATGCATTGTTATGCCATGCCTCCACCCTAGTAGCGATGGCCTCCAACATAGAAGCGAAGGCCTCCAACCTAATGGCGACGGCCTCCGACCTAGTAGCGATGGCCAGCGATGGCCTCCAACCTAATAGCGATGGCCTCCACCCTAGTAGCGATGGCCTCCAACCTAATAGCGATGGCCTCCACCCTAGTAGCGATGGCCTCCAACCTAGTAGCGGTGGCCAGCGATGGCCTCCAACCTAATAGCGATGGCCTCCAACCAAATAGCGATGGCCTCCACCCTACTAGCAATGGCCTCCACCCTAGCGATGGCCTCCAACATAGAAGCGATGGCCTCCAACCTAATAGCGATGGCCTCCAACCTA